TTAAGAAGACATTTTTCTTTTAGCAATTCTTAGAATGGTTAATTGATTATTGACATAGTTTTATTTCTTAATGTTTAACATTGTGAAATGTAAAAAAAAAAAAAAAAAAGAAGAGATTAAAAGGAAACATGTAAATAACTAATAAAATAGTTCTTGGTTCCTCATCAGTTAGTTTGCATGGAAAGCGGCGTTATCTGTGCTTCTGTGTTTGCTAACATTATTTAAGGCAGCTGGTCATGAAGGGAGCCCGAGAACTGTGATCACATTCAAATCAGCTGATAACTAATTATACATGTATGTTATCACCACAAATCCACGGTGGAATATCAGTATCCTTTCATTTTCACTCCACACTGCAGTTTAAATTTCATTTTTATGCTAATACTTGCACGTCAGTCTCCCTTTTATTGCTGTAAGGCAGCTTTTTTTATTTTAACTTTCTGACAAAGAAAACAAACCGAAGAGCTTGCTTCTAAAATAACTAATCTCTAGAATTTTCAGGAAAGTTAAACATTTCATCTTTTCTACTCAAGCAATGCTGTTATCTTATCTGTGGGGATTTTAAATTGGTAGGAATACATTCCAGCCATGTTACCCCTGTCTTTCAACAGACATAGTTAACCTCTCAGGGGATTTGTGCGCATATTGTTAAACAGTTTGATTATACCAAATAAAAAGAAAACTATAAACTCAGCATATTCAAGCCCCCGATGGTCTGAGGCCTCTGAATTTCTGTCTGACCTGGCACTTAAAAGGTAAGGAGCTGCTTTGTTTTATCAATAAGACCTTGTTTTCATGGCTGGTCACCACCCCAGCAAACCAATCAATGGGGCATGCTCTGCTATCGCTGTGAGAGAAATGAAAAATAAACCCCAGATAATCCTTCAGTTAAAAGGTTACTCAGGGCGATAAAAGCTATTTTGTTAATTTATTTACTCTCTGCACTGGAGAGATAAAGAAAAGGAACAATTAGGGAATTCTAGGTGAGAGATTTTAAAAGGGCAATGACATTGGGTTAATATTTTATAAGGCCTGATTGGCAGAGACCTGGAGAGGCCTTTTGTTTACACAAGCCCCAGACGGAATGATTCACTCGCTTGTTTTGGCCGACTGGGCGGAAATGGAATAAATATCTTCATCCTTACCTTTTAGAAACGTCAAACAAAAGCCTGAGATAAAAGGTTAATGGCTCAATCATAACCAGCAGGAAATAATATTATGCTCTTTCTCTGCAAACTGGAATCACTATTGACATAATCAGGTTGAATTCCTAAAGATATCCAAAGATGGGAGGAGCAGATGATTTCTTTTTTTTTTTTTTTTTTTTTTTTTTTTTTTTGTGTGTAACTAAATCCACTAAGGGAGTGTGCTCACTTGGGCTAAACATTACATTTGTGGTTTCAATTGATTTATAACAGATCATAATCACTGCATTAATGTCGTTCTGGGTAATAAGATCTCAGTCACTGCTTCCGTCGACAGAAAAGAGTCTGATAGTGAGATGTCAGAATTCTGCAGCGAGATCTAAAACCGTCCTGATCTCATGCGATATTATACCTCTTATTATACCTATCACCTTGTGTTGGCTTCCTGTAAAACGGGGTGAGAACGCGAATTTAATTATTGTGCTTTTATTGCATTGTAGCTCTGAAATTGGACTCGTGTGGAGTGTATTGTTGGGCCCCATGTAATCTGATTGCCTGTGCAGCGTAGTGTGTTGGATAGTATCAGGTTCCAGCCGACTCTGCTGGGTCAACACACGGCCGGGCCATTAAAGGAAGTCTGGTTCAGGGAAAGTTCACCACTATTTTCTTTTCACCATGGCAGCAAAACAAGAAAGAGAGAATAGATGTGTAACATATTTGTGGCCCCAGCCCAAAGCTGGTGGGGCCTATTTTGTTTCCTTAATTGAAGCCAGAGATATCATGGGCCTGAATATCTTTTAGTATAAATATAAATAAAGCAGGGAATAAGATTCTTTCATGATTGACCTCCAATACAGAAATAATATTGTCCAAATAAGTCTGATTTAAAACCCACAGCTTCTTATTTTCTGAACCATTTTAAAGCAGAGGTGAGAAAATGAAAGTAAGGTGAGAAAATTCTGAAAAAATAAACAGCGGATAAGAAATGAAAAGTACCAGAATTCCAACCATAAATCCAGTTGTGCTATCTTTTTCCTGCAATAATGGCCTAGTTTGGAGCAGTTTCTGTGCCAGGCTATTTAGGGAATCAGCATCTGCTGCTTGATAAATAGCCTGGCTCTTTTGTTTGAGGCCAGGTTGAGTTCCTCTCTGGACCCAGCTTACTAGCCTGGATGGCTCTGACCATTGCAGATCTGTTTGGATGTTAGCATCGTGCCTCAGCTGTGGCGTTTCAAGGAACTAAATTACGTATTGTTTAGGGACATTATGCCAAACTACACGAATCGCAAGGCATTGAAAAAAAAAAATGGAGGAAATTAATCAGTGCACCCCCCCTCTATGGTAAAGCCATTTCTGTAAATTTAGACACCCACTCAGTCTTGAGGAAAGGAAAAAATAACATTAATTTCTGAGAGGCTTTCCTGTTGCTTGGAGGTCCCTCAGTTCAAAGCTCTTTTCAGTTGGTGTATTGCTTTCATGGCTAGCCAGCGTTATATGTGTGCAGAGAGTAGCTGAAATGTGATCCCTTTAAACACACGGACAGATTCTCTTGCAGCCTATCTAAACTTTACCTTTACTTAACTGGGTCTTTGTACTGGGGTTCACATCCTTTGACATGATCTAAGGTTGATGTGACATTTTTTTGTCCATTTGAGGTCCTTTTTGCTTTTAGTATTGTTGGTAAAAAAGCCTTTTACCCATCACATACCCTCTATTGAGGTCTTTCATAAATAATTCAGCCAGAGTACAAGTGAAAGTGATGACAGCAAAACTGTCTGCGATCTCTCCCTCTCATAAGATCAAAGAGGTGCTTCTATAGAAATAGGAATTACATTTCCAGACGTTGGTGGGTTGAGCGGGCACTCATTTCTCTTTCTGCTCCTCTCTCTCTCTTCCTCTCACTCTCACTGCCCTCCTCTTACTTTCTGTCATTTGCTCTCCCTCTCCCTCTCCCTGCTTCTTTCTATCACTTGTGTGTTTTCCCTTCCAAAGGGACACAGTTGAGTGAAGGTCTGCTTTTAGTCCTAAAACCTCCAGAGCTGGTATATGAGAGAGTCAGCACATTCAGACAGATAGAGCAAGTGCACTCTATTAGCAGGACTGAGGTAAATAAACCTCACAAGACACGGCTGAATAAATTCAACTACTAAGGCGGTGCGGTTATCTGAACTAAAACACCGCATCACCCTGTAGATACTGCCTTTGGGAAATGTAGTGAAACTTACTGTAACACAAGCGGCCTCATATACTGTACTGGTCCATAAAGTCCAGAAGGAGACATCATTGTTTGAAAAAGTCAGAAGAGCTCATCAGTAGGCAGCATTTGCTAATTTAACGGTAAATGTTTGTTGGATGCAAACAGCTTGTAAACTGACCCTTAAGCCAGCGATCATGTTAGAAAAAACATTTGCCACATTAAACCTACATACAGTGAGAGCAAACAACACAGTCAGTGTCATCAGTGAAAATAAAGTGATAAAATTCCCTTTCATGATTACAGTTTCATGACAAAAGCATAATCATTACTAATATCGATGTGGGTATGGAGAGACTTTGCCTGGGATTAAAGACAATAAATAAATCACACCTTACAGCAAACTTTACAGCGACATTATCATATAATAATGTTAGCACACCCATTTAACAGATCAATATGTAACCTGAATGCATCGGCTCAACAAATATCTCCCCGGTTTGATTTCTGGCTCTGTCCTTTTTATGTAAAACGTCAAACGCCATGTTTGTTCAGGTTTCCTCCCATAGTTCAAGCAGACTACGGAAACCCTTCGGTGTTTTAAAGATGGATTAAGCGCAGTTCATATTGGAGAGAACTTAGTATCCTGGTTAAGCTCAAAATGGACTATTGTATGTGAAATAATGTATGAAGCCAATATGTCACCTGTGTCAAGTCACCATAATTCATCTTCAGATGAGACATCCAGCTCCTTGTTCATAAAGAATATACGTCTATACGATCTTGGCCCCCTCATTATATGCGCATTGCATTTTTTTTCACCCCTGTAGGCTTTTCTTTGTAACTATAAGCCAGCAAAGTAGGTATTGATTGCAACTCCAAGCTGTATTAATAAGTGAATGAGTAAGATGTGTGGAAAGTCAGGGGTGTATCTGCTTTGGAGGCCTTTTCTCCTCCACAGTAAGGTGGCACAGTCATTTATCATGGCTGGATCTGTGCCCCTCGTTTGGTGTAATAAAACTCCCCCATCAGAACCGTCCAACAGGTCTGAATCACTCTGTCACACCACCTTCCAGCTAAGGCACGCATTAAATCAAGCAAGCAGAACATTTCCTAAGGCAGCCATTGCCTTTTAATTTCCTGAAGAACCTTAAAATATCATTCATTACCAGAACTACACATATTTGGTTTTTAAAAGTCTCATAAATCAATAGTGGCCTGACTGCAATAATTATAACAAGTTAACATGTAATTTCCAGGCCGAGGGCCGCGCACTGGATTTTAGCATATGCAAACGAGGCAATTCAAATAGTGTGGGGATATTAATACGGAGGAACAGGTAACGAGGTACGGGTTATGAATTATGCATCAAAAAGTGGTTGATCTTCAATAAAGGAAATGAATTCACCGTGTAATCTAATTAGTTATGGAAGTCTATTATGTTGAGCTGCAGAAAGCAACTGTCCTTGAAAAGAAATTTATTTACAGTACATGTTAGCTCTTTGGAATGGAATTGCATTCTGGAGTGCTCCAAATGTTAACACCCCCCGCCCCCCTCCCCCCCTGCCACCATCACCACCCACACAACCCCCTCCTCCCTCTGCCAGTCTCCTCCATGTCTCTCACCCGCGTTCTCCTCCTTCTCTGCCCCGGTGTTTTAGCTCCAGACCCGGCCGGCCTCCGAAGAGGACCCAGAGTGTGACATCGCCAGAGAACCCCCACATCATGCCCCACTCAGTCCCTGGCCTCATGTCCCCTGGCATGATCCCACCCACAGGTATGGTTTGGTCTTAGTCTGTGGCGCTCTGTCGCTGTTGCTAAGGCTCTGATTCGCTCTGTCTGGGTCTCTTCTATCTCCCTCTTTCTATCTGTCACACACATACTCATACACACAAACGCACACACACACACACACACGCACAAAACCTCCCTACGAGTGGCCTCCCTGCAGCTTGTCCTCGAAATGGCAACCAGTCCAAAGTGACACATGCACCCAACCACCAGACACCAGCCGCTCACTCGTTTACCAAAAACAGATCCTCTGCTCAACCCCCGGAAACCAAAAGGGGGAGAATAAATTGGAGTGGAGATCTTTTCTCTCAGATTATTCCAGTAGATGTTGCATTTTGCCTTGAGTGCATTCTAATTAGTGCGATTAAATCCACTCCACTGGTATATGTACATAGGCAGTAGTGATGCTAAAGCAAGCTTATCGCCACAAGAATCAACAACAACCATTTGTGCCCTAACTTACCCCTGGGCCAAGTCTTATTGCAACTAATGCTTTTGTTCTATTTGTGGCTGGCTTCATTGTGACTGCTTTGATGTTGGTGGCTGTAAGTGCTCTGATTTGCATATTTTGCTCTCCTTTTTGATATGTATTTAATGATATTGTACTGTCGAAAGGAGCTCTTTGAATGCTCACCCGGCATACAGTACACATTGTATTTTACCAACCGTTAACTGTAGTTCTTTACAAAGAGGTGGTTTTCCATTGTGATCTTTGGTGTATAGCAATTTTAACACACTAGAAATTATCTTAACTCACAGTCTCCAACTGTTTTTTTTATTTTTCTTTAGCAAAGCAGCGTCTGGCTGTTTGAAATTCAGTGTTGCACACAGATCGGGCCATCCTTGTGATTCAGCACAATGGAGGCTCACAGGCTAGTGCTTTGAACTCTGGGAATAGGGTGAGGTCAGTGGCTATCTGCGCTGTGGTATAGAATGCGAACTTAAAGGCCGAAGTGAACACAGAGGAGGACAAAGTTGAGAAAGACCCGTGTTATTTAGTGGAACATAAAGCAACAGAAAAGCCTTTTGATATCATCCCCTTTTAAGCCCAGCGGGACTCTATGATCTTGACATTTAGTCAGGGTATTCAAGGGGCAGAGATAAAGTAATTGAGGTTTTCTGGTCTTCTCATAACTGCCTTAAGCTTCCTTACTGTGGCGAGACAGAACTTTTCCATCAATTTCTGTGTTATAATTAAACCATTTATTGTTTTGATGATGGTATTAAGCATTAAACGTCAAGGAAGTTACAGATTCTGACAGATTAATAATGAAGTATAATTGACCACACAGAAGTTAGCATCTAAGTAGGCGACTAATTGATCTCCCTGTCATGTCGAAATGTACTGATTGATGATAAAAAAAGCAACATTGAGAAACTGTCTTAAATAGTTACACTATCATGTCATGTCAGATTAGTTCATTTTTCAGATGAGTTGGCGCCTGCACACACAGACGGAATATGGGCCGACGGCTTCACCAATACTCCAAGACGCCACACAAAAAAAAAAAAAAAGCCATAGCACAGTTTAATTTGGGCTGCAGAGAAAGAGCCAAATACTCCATGAAATGTTTTGTTCACAGTAGAATGTCAATTCTCTCCCGGTGTTGCATGTGTAAATCTGTGATGCAGGTACTTCTCCCTCAGCCCCTTATGACTCGAGTGGTTGCCTCATGCTCAAATTTGGCAAAAGTAAAAAGAAAAATCAATTATCTAATCTTCTAGCCTCGTAAGGGACAAGGAGCTGACAGAACCAATGCATCCTTTTTCACTTCACCCTGTTTTAAGGAATTGTGTTTGCTGTAATTTCATCATGCAAACCATGATCCATCAAATGTTTTTTTTTGGTGTTTTTAGTTATTAGACATGGAGATTAGACATAGACTCAAATCACATTAGATTAAAATCAATGACCATATTCAACACAGTGGAAAGATGTCTTCTTCACACTCCTAACAGGACCAGAGAAGCCTATGTGAAACACATTGTTAACATATGTATCTTTGCCCTTGACACCAGTTCCATTTAGAAAAGGACATCTTAATATGCTTAGGTTTCCATTTAAGGAAATACCCTCATATGTGTGTGAAAGCACACGTGTGTATGTGTGAGTGTCTTGAATGCGTGCATGCTAGTATCATGCCCGAGGGGGGTGGGGGGTTGCGGGGAAGGGGTGGGTTGTGGGGTGGGGGGGTTTGCTCTGGAGCCTTTCCAGTTGCTGATGCATTACAGGCAGATTGGCCCTCAAATCGGATTATTTGCTGTGGACTGACACCACACTGAGATGACATCTCCTTTAAAGTGGAGAGGGCCTCCACTCACACTCTGGCCACTACTTAAGCAGCAGCTTCAATATAATTCATTTATGTCCTGGATATGGCTTCAACCTTTTGAATAACGCAAGAGTACTGCATTTACCATTAGAGAAATGAATGTCACCTACATCTTACCGGGGTGCATCCTGTACTTTACCGATAAAAACAATATTTTCTAATGCTAGACGCCTCTGCCTTACTGTACAAGACTGTGTGTAAGATACCGGTGCCTCTGAGAGCCGGTTCTTCCTACAAGTATAGTAGGTGGAGACATATTGTAATATTTATGTTCTTTTGATGTACAATTAGCATGTCAGCTTCTAGAGTGGATCATCTAATCTGGTGCCACTTCAAGCTGCTTTAAAATAGATCCAGTATGCACCAGGTAATTTAGTGTCAGTTCTTTGTGCCTTTACCCCTCCTCTATCAGTTCGCTGCTTGTCATAAGGTTAGCGCGCTCTGTAATTGATACTAAATTTGTCATGATGTGGATAGCACAGTTCAAGTGGTGCAGCGTACCTAAGAGTCGCGTTGTTCCCAACCCCAGTTTGTCATTGCTGTGCTGCCACCAGTCCATGCATTAAATTAGGCGGCCATGCTCATTGACATGGAGTGTCTCTTCTCTACTTATCCTGCTTGCCTGATAAATAAAGTGTGTTTTCATTCGTTGCCCATGGTGCAGTCCCAAACAGAGAACAGAACAGAAACACAACAGATAAGCTCTGGTTATTTTTCTTGCTTTTCTTTTTTTTATCACCGCTAGAGAAAGTCATAAAAGTCAGTCTTTTGTGTACTGATGTGAAGTTAATCTGATTTTAATTTAATTATACGAGTTAGTTGCGGAGGGCACAGGCATTGGGGTGTTTGTTGTAAGAATGTTCTGACACTGGCGCAGGTATGGGGCAGCTAGCATGTTAATTAATGATGAAGATCCTGACAATATGCAGAGGCATGACAGCGTTAAGCCAGTCGGCTGCTGCTTCCTTTGCATATTAATAGATCCTTCATTATTATTTAATATGACAGCTGCTCCAAGGGCTACCATCAGACCTTGTCTCTGTTATTTGCTGTTTTGTGCTCCCCATGTGACAGTGCCATGCTATTCTCTATTTGTTGAAATGTTCCCTTTTTCTGTTCACCGACTGGTGTGGCTCTCTACATGCGGCCGTGATGCGCTGTTTGTTTTGTGCTCAGGAGGATTCTGACCGTGTGTCTATATGAGAGAAAGTGTCTGAATCTAAAGGTGACTTTGAAAGAATATATGAGGCTGGATTGTTTTGTTTGCATAGTAATGAATGCAGATTAGCGCTGAGTGGGATTGGTCTTGTTGACGTTTAGACTTCTAGTGGCTTAATAGACTTGTTGCTGGGCGCCAGCATCTCCCAGGCTACCTCATAACATCCACTGTATTGAGGTGTTTGTTATGTGGATATGACAATTGATCTGTTGAAATGAAACAATTATCAGAACAAAGATTTCGATTTATGTAGTTTGTCACTTAGTCAAACACAAGGGTGGAGGTTGCAGCAGAATGATAAATGAAAAATGGAAAAGTGATCATTTCACTGTAATACAAATCCACTTCTTACCTCAACATTTGATTAAAATCTATTGCTTTCTTCTGCGAGGATTAATTTACTTTTTTCTTTTGTTTAATTTTTTTTTTTTTTTTTTTTTTTTTACAGCTCAGTCCAGTTCACAAAAGAAAAAAAAGAAATGTTGAGGACACACAGGCCGCAGTGCAATAAACAACAGTGTTCTCACAGCCAAAGTTAGAGAGCATCAGAGAGCACCACTGCGGCACTCCTTTGAGCGGCACCTGATTTGTGGGGGGAATTTATCACACAAACAGCCCAGAGGTGATTTCAATATTTACTCGGCAGTCTGTTCTGCATACGTCTCATTTGGAAAACAGTTGACTCTTGCCCATTATACACAAATGAAGGCTGACCTTCAGACTGGGCAGAGGCCACATTCATTATGTGGAAAAGTATCACCTTCTTATGAGGCAATGGCTTTTTTTTTTTTTTTCCCCCTGCTCTGCCTATGCATATGGAACAGCAGCCAGGGCCCATTGCAAACGAGAGGGCCCTCGTTGACATGATGTATACTGTACGTCAATATGGTACTGATGTATTTTAAGATGCAAACAAGGCTTTAAATTATATGCACCTCCATGTCAGTGGCTCAGAGTGACTCTCGCCATCTGCCTATCAGCTGGGGATGAGAGGAGAGAGGGTGCCCAGGCTGGTATGTTCTTGTGTGCGTGTTTGTCAGTGCGCGCCTGTGCCTCTGTGTGCGTGCATGCTTGCATGTATCTATTAAAGCCACATGTTTGATTTCTACCTCTCCTTGTACTTGTGTCTCCCCTCAACTGCATGGCTAATAGCTGCTCTTGAGTCCCATCATGAAGACGTGACAGCTTAGCGATGATAAACGCAGACGTTGCCTTGTTCTGCATCAAACGTAAGGCAAACCTGCATATCAAGTATAAGCAGCCTCTGTGAAAGGGCAGGTGATATACCGTATTGTGGATATGAGTGATTCCGCTAATAGGTACATATCTTTTTCTCGCCATGCAGCTTTGATTTTTGTTGCTAGGGTTGGCAAGAAGAGTCGTGGGACTCTCCTGAGACACACCAGGCCTAGAGGAGCTTTACCACTATCTGTCCCTGCTGTTTGAGACCAGCCTCATGAATAAAGATTTCAGTCACGTTCAATACACCAGAACCCTGGAAGTACCACAATGACAAACCAGTGCTTTATGGTCTCTGCAGTGTGCTAAGCATATGTATGTCTATAATCTCAGACTTACTATATCAATCATATAAAGTCAGTTTTGATCGAGGCGGACGAGCATGTAAAATAATGCTATTGCAGTATATATTCAGAGGTGGCTGTGGAAATGGGAATGATTATTTAAAATGTGATGTCAATAGTCATTTAGTCTGCTCAAGAAGACAGCAGCGTTGAGCCTGAGAAGAATCCATTCAAATTCTCAAAAATATTTGACATGTCAGAAATTGATGGAAAATGAGAAAGTGATATGCATATTAAAGAATGTATTATAATGGTTGCATTGTATAAAACTGTACAAACATTTGTGTAGGTTACTGACTCTCAGACAGGATTTTATGGGCAGTTAAAAACTTAAAAATGCCTTTCAAACAAACACAATGAAATATGTTACAATCTGTCTTCATTTTTTTGTGATTTTTTTTTTAAATGTATTTTTATTTTTTATGCCTTTCTTTCGCTTGATAAGAGTTTAGAGCTCTTGTTGCCACCTCATTTTTTTCCCACCTCAAAAGTCCTTTAAACGTTTTTGAGAATGTATGGGGATGATGAATTTCATACATTGCTTCGTTTTTTTTTTTTTTTTATGGATCATATTCCTTAGTTAATTTTCATACACGGCCCTCTTAAGTACTGAATAAACTCAAAGCCATTTTCAAGTATCAAAGAATAAAATACTTGAACCCGTGGTACATTGTTTATAGTTTTCCATTCTGTGTGATGACTGGCCTTGACTCTCAGAAGAGCCCTCTTATTATGAAGCACTACAGTATATAGCTGTGAAGAATTTGAATACCAATGTTAGGCATTATTCTGTGTGATTCGGATATGATGAATACATTAGAAACACCCTCGCTAAGAGGTCTTTTAAGACACAGTTCTCGCTCTGTACATGTTGAACCTGTCTCACTTCCTGTTTCACTTTTTCTCTCCCTGAACCCTCCCGTGTCACCCTGTATCACCATGCCTCCCTTATATATATACGCATATGTTGTGCATTATAAGTTGTACACACAAAATGCTTGCATCATGTACTGTTATCTGGACTGCATCTATTCCCATCAAGGTAGAAATACATCAATATAGTGGCGAGGAATGCCAGAGTTGGTGAAACATTCATAAAAATCATATGCTGCCACACACACAGGGATCCATCCCATCAGCATGATAACCTGCTGTGAAGATATCCCCTGTCAGAAGATGAAAAACCAAGCCGTGATCTCATAGATGCTTATTCCGCATAGTGTATAAAATTATTCATTGTTTTATTATTTCAAAATTCCTCTTTCATTGTTTTTTTTTTTCCGTCAGGGCAGGTTTGTGAAAGGTTTTGCAGGTGCAGTGGCTCAGCCCCAGCAGACATGTAGCGGTCTGTAAGCGCTCTGTCTCCTCTGCCTCCTCTCTCCAGGCCTGACAGCAGCGGCGGCAGCAGCTGCCAACGCAGCCATCGCAGAGGCCATGAAGGTCAAGAAGATCAAGCTGGAGGCGATGAGCAGCTACCACGGCAACGCCAACCACCATGGGGCCGACGGAGAGAATGGAGACCTCAGCTCCAGCGTCGGTGAGGATGCCCTTCACGCACACACACACACTGTCACAAACACACCCATACTCTCATAAATGCTTGCTGCAAACTATTGTTTGTGCCTGTAGAGACAAAGAGACAAACACACATTAAGACTCACACCTCTTCCATCACCACACAATCATCTTATCTTTTAATAATAGATGGACAGAGAAATGTTTAAACATTGACAGTATAATTTGCATCTCACTCTGCATCTGCACCAGAATGCATATAATACTGAATACAGACAAATGCAGATTTGCTCATGACAGTCATGATTTTTCAAAAACATCCCAAACCTTTATTTAAAATTATTTTGCAGAAGAATTCATTTCAAGTGAATCTCGTGACTTGAATCTCGTGAGTTACGAACATTAAAATTGATCAAGTTTCATTTGCACCACCTACGGGCAGAATACCATCAAGTTGTAGCTAGCAGTGAGCGCGTGCACTCATCGACTAAATTTGATTTCAGCTGCAGTCCATGCGTTGAAGAGTTGTGGCAGTTTACGTCCAATAGACCGTGCCTACAAGAAACACAACCAATTATAACAAAATGAAAGTATCATTTTTTTTTTTTTTTTTTGTGGGCTTGCACAGATATTAAATGACGAACTTTGAATTTGCATGTTGACCCACATCTGCATCAAAATACAAATAATGACTGACAAATAATGCAGATTTTAGATGAAAATTAAGAAGTTTTAGGAAGACTGAATTTCCAGTGAGTCAGACTTAGGGCCACTGAGTAATGGCCGTAACATTTTTTGTAAGTTTCAAGTTTCTGTAGCACTCCCTAAAGGTAGAATAACATCACATTTTGCAGGTTTGCTGAGAGTGAATGTGTGTAGCTTTCGCCTACATGACCAAAGACTAAAACCTATTTACCAGAGGTAACAACTGATCCTGTACATATAGCTCGTCCTAAATGCTTTTTTGTTTAAAAAATAGTGAAATATTGTTTTTGTTCACTTTATATGCAGTGTGAATATTAACTCTGGTAAGGTAAGTTTTGTTTTCTCTTGAAGTGTTACACTTTTGTTTTAGAAGGAAAAAAAAAACGTTCTTAATAGCTAAGTGAAACTGTGAACTGTTTCCCAAAGCTATCAGCTTTTAACAAGGTCTAATTGAATTGCTGTGAGAGCACTGGTTTTTTTCACTATGTGCCATTTCAATTAATTATTAGCCCTAAAATGCAGAAGGATTTTCGTAATATCACACAGAACCACTTAGTGTATTAAAGAGAAAGATAATGTATGTTAGTGCGGATTCATGAGCCCATTCCAAATTATAGACCAAATGTAATCCCTGTAGCTTTGGTTGCTAAATGGAGGTTTTGATTCATTTACAGTAATAAATGGCTCGACTCCTGAATACATTTCAACAGTAATACTTGACACCATGGAGCTTATGGCGTGCGGGATGAAAACAGGATGTGTTTCTAAGCAGATTTAACAATGCAAAATGCATAAAGTGTGAGGTCATCACTCTGAGAGAATGGAGTGTGTAAAAAAGAGAATACGAGCATACGAGGTCACGGAAATAAAGATAAATGTGAGTACCAACTGCAAGGCTATGGCAATGGAGCTAATAAGAAACTGTTTTATCTTTTTACAATTTAAATTGTAACCTTGAGCCCACAGCCAGCCACACAGGCTCCCGGTAGAATCATAATTCTGGCAAGGGGTAGCAGCTCTAGGTGTGGGTGCATGGGCCACAGCATTAGCTCTCTGAGTGAAATATATGGCAGTGACGCCTCTCGGCCCCATCCACAATCAATTGGATTCTTTTCCTTTAATATTTACTCGCAGCGATGAGATGCTCGTCTGCATGGTGATGAACAGTCTGCCACTGGCGTTTGAAGGTGACCTGTCAGTGAGTATGGACAAATCTCTCGCTCGCAGAAATGTAGAAAATAAATCATTAGGGGCAGGCAGTCAGACAGGGGCCTCTCTCTCTCCCTCACTCTCCTCGGATTTAAATCAGCTCAGATTTATGATTTGAATTAATGCTTCGTTTGGTCAAAGGAATGGTTGCAGAGACAAATGATGTTTGGTACTGAAACCATCCTAATATTGATTACTGGGTGTCGCAGCAATCTCTTGTTTATATCAAGCACTCTCCTGTGACAGGGTGGCCACCAGGAGTCATCCTGATAATACGCTGGAGAAATATGGCCCGCTCTGCACTGCAGGGCCATGAAACACAGCTAGCAGTGTGCTGTCTTCTTCATCTAGCCCCAGGCTTACACTCACATGTTTATTTTTAATGGAAGCATTTTGTAATTTTGCAAAAATATGAAGACTGACTTAAAAGAAAGCATGATTACAAGGTTATTTAACATTCCAAAAGTGTCTCACTCTGGCCTGTTTTCACAAACTATTTCGGACTCCGAATGCCTAATATGTCCAGCTTTCAAGCCTATTATCCAATAGCAATCTAAACTTATAAATCACTTGACTGATATAGCGTGGAGTGGGCAGGAGGAGAACTGTATTTGGCTGTAGCTTTGTTGGGACTGGACTGGCTGTGGCTCATAGCACTGACTGAGGGTATGACTTCATGCTGTTTTTTAGACCACAGCTGCTCTCAGGAAATGGACTGGAGTTTTTATAATCATCCAGCTTAAACTAAGACTCACACAAGCGGATGTGTTTACTTACACAAATGATGTTACCAACCATGATAGGAATTGATATGATAATGAGCGTGCCTCTCATAATACCACTAAGGACGTAGATCCATTTAATCAGAGAGAGCTACTACATAAACCCATTGAAAATAAAAAATAAAAACCCTCCTCAGGTTAAAATACAGGTGCCTCATCTCAGTGTTTGTCAGAAGCATATCTTGTATTGTGAAGTGCTTAAAGCAAAGCACCGCAGAGACAGCCAGTGAAGGACACTCTGTTCTGTTTGTAGAGTTGGATTGCCCGTCGCTGTCTTTGTGTTGATGTAAACTGAACAGGCTAATGTTTCTGCCTCGCATTAAATATTCATCACAATTAGACCTTCCTGTTTGCATCAATGTTATTAATTATAAGGGAAAAAACAGCCAGTTCAACTCTCAGCCAAAATAACCAAACATCCTGAGTGAGGGGAGAGAAGGGAAACAGGTATTTTTTGTAGGAGTACATGGAGAGAGAGACAGATGAAAAGATGGACATATAATGACATAAAAATGTATAGAGACCGAATGAGTGGTGTGTGGGGGCGTCTTTCTTTGATTTTTTTTTTTTTTTTTTTCTTACACTCTTTAGTTGGGTAGACAGGGCCCTCTCAAAGCACAATGTGGATTGTTCCTGCGCCTCTCAGGAAATGCCACAATTACAGATCACAAACCAAGCAAAACACGTGTGGCGCGGGGCCTTGAGGGGGATAAACAGCCCGCCATTCCCTCCCAGTGCACTGACCCCAGCCACAACCTTCATTACTGGGAGAGAAAATATTGTCAGCTGCCCACTAACAAACACCTGCCAATTTCAAGAGAAGGAATTGCTTTTTTTTCAGCTGCAGAAGGAAAATAAAGTGTTTCTTAGAAAAAACCGTTAGAAAAACAGTGGGAAGAAAGGATAAGGCAGCGTTCACCCCTGTCCTCTTTTCTCTGTCTCCTTTCTTCTCTGTCTCACTTACTTCCCTGTGTTTCACCCTCTGTCTCTCTTTGGCCACTGGGTGCTGCCCTGCCACTCATCTGACTCCTCACCACACAACTCTAATGGAGCTGAAATCTTGTTTGTAATTAGATATGGGAATTCCATTGTCATCGGCCAGATGATGCCACGACATGCCAACCGAACAACTCGCCGACAGACAGCGCCACAGGAAAAAGAAGACGCACACTAACACTAACTATCAGACGTTAGCTGTACGTTTTAACTATATCCTAATAACTGAGCTGTGTAAACAGTTACATTCTGCAGCATTACTTCAAAAACCTGAAAGCCCTTTGTCTCGCATCTGTGGCTTCAGTCCAGGCTGCCTGCGCCCAACAGGGAGTGGGGGAGCCACATGCTAGGCTGAGGCTGGACGGGTGGTGACAGGTACCTGGAGTGTTGCCTGACTGAGAGTTGAGAGGAAGAGGTTCTGGGTGAGATGATGAGGAAGCATCATTCTCTCTCTTCCCAGGGTCATCAGGCTAATTTCTGCGAGCCCCACCCTCACGCTTGCATGTTTGCATGTGTGTGAGTGTGCGTACGTGAGTGTGTGTGTGTGCATGCTCGCGTGAGAGAGAATGAGGGGGCCTTGGCCCCTGAGAGCGCTCTGTGAGGAGACCACAGCTGTACACTCCCAGCAGCTAATTGGTCCTTATCTAGCTGTCCCATTCATCTTCATTTTTTACCAATTACTGAGCATTATCTGTGTTCTCAGTTGGGTATGGGACTTAATCCTTTTTGGTTAAGCTGGTGCTACAGCTTGCAAATTTCAAATGGAGGAAGGGGGGTGGGGGGGTGGGGGGGAAGAGAGAGAAAGGTGGAGGGGAAGGGGAGAGGGGGGCAAAAGTCATAGCAAAAACAAACTGAAACTTCCCATCATCCCTCACTGACAGGAAACAATCAATAAACAATGACATCACACAAAGGAGGGAGGAAAAAAATGGAAGAGATCAATTATTGGCGTTATAATTCAAGTCCTTGTTTGCAAACGTTGCAGCCTCATTGATTAGGCTGGTCCTGTTGCACTCACCATTATTGAGTTGTTAAAACCATATTTTCTCATCATCAGTGGTTTTGCGTTGGCGGCCACACAGATAACAACGCTTTAAGGGGCGTCATTAATTATTCAAGATGTATTCATTTTAAAGCACAGCAAGCCCAAATCATCTTGTTTACTCTACAAACAATACATGTATAGTACATTGCTCATCCAGAAGGTACATCAAGACGCCGCAATCTGGGACAGTTAGCCTTAATTTTCTGAGATCAATGCATAACTAGGCTCCTCTCTATATGGGGTCCGTGCTTGGCCATGCTGCAGAGCTGAGTGGAGTCAGCCTGG